CTTAAGAAAGGCAGATGGGGCCCAATGTGACGTGGAGCCGGCGCAGCTAATGTCATCGTGCCCACTACCCCCTCGCCAAGCCAACCGGCTTGTCTTCTTCCATAAGACATCAGACCATCTGCAGACTTGAGTTGGAGCCGTTGCCACAAGTTTTTGTCTGGAAACTTTCCCCTGATGTTTTCATTTCTCCATGACGCTGGCAAATCCCGGGTTCTTTGCTCAATACCCCGTTTGCGCTTAATACCGCATATTTCAAAGGATCCATCCTCAGGAAATTGTCACTGGGTCCGCTGGTGTTGTGCTCGCCGCACAGATGCCCGGAATGTGGGAGCGTGGTATCCCACTCAACATCTAGCGTACCAAAGTCGATTTCCACCCGATGTTGAACTAGAAGCGGGCAACAGCGGAAGGAAGCAGGATCCTCAAGGGTCTTTGCCGATGGTGATGTGACGTGGACACGCGGCTGTTGACGGCGGCAGAATGACATGAGTGCGCGTCTGTTCAGTGTGATTTCTCCGACTCGGGGGATTTTCAACATCCCTGCATCCGAACCCCATTTGCACCCTGTGGCTCTTCACTGTCGGGTAGGACCTCACTGCCTTTCAGGGGCAATTGTGGACGCAAGTGCCCATTGACGTGGTTGAACAGTTTGCGCAAACAATGCAATCAACGGGTAGTCTTTTGGACAGAAGGAATTGGTATCATATAGCTATTTAATGCGTTATTTTCTGGGCCAGGTCTCTACCAAGCCTCGCGGGGATGTTGCGGGCGTTGCTCAACAAATTGACTAGTCCTATCATCAATAGTGACCTGGATCTCGTTCGAAACCACAATGCCATTCGGCGGCTTGCTTCCAGGTATCGGTGAGACCGAGCTGGTCGACGTCTTGATGTCCTGCATTTTGACATCATTCATAATTCGTTCCTCGCTTTCGGTAAATGAAATGTTGGCGGTGATTGGGTTCGCACTTGATGGACCAGTGCGGCGATCGCGACTCCGTTGAGAGTTGCCGTATTGTCCATTCCCGCCACCAATGGTTTGGAATCCACTCGGTGTCTTATAGGCCTTCTTGGATGAGCGCAGCATGCTGGGCCAGAGGGGCTTGAGCCAGGTCCGGATGAGAGGGAAGATCATAGGGAGGTTAGTCGTGACGACGGCGACGAATGTTTCTCGCGTTCCCCATGTTCCTGCAAGTTGGGCTCCGTTGACGGGATCCTGCCCAGATATGTTAATAGCTATTAGATAGAGGCGTATGATATCTACTCACAACCAGGACAAAGATGCTCTTCAATGTCGCACAGACCAAGACGAAGATACCGGCGCCAAGGACGATGGTCGAAGCAATCTTTTTGATGAGTCTGAGGGTAGACTCCCAAAGTAGCGGGATGGGAATAAGAATAAGGTATATGTCGGTCGAAACGTTTGCCGCGAACGATGTCCAGATGATCGGCAAGGAAATAGCAGCCTGGCAAGAGTCTAGGGATACCATTAGCATAGAATACGCCAACAAAGCTGGGATCTAGGCGACTTACTACCGGGATCCGGGCTGATCTGCCAGTACTTATCGAACGGTATGCATGCGAGAAAGACGGCAAGGATAGATGCCATAAAGGTTCCGATGACCAGTCCAAAGCCTATCCAGATGCGCATCCGGTAGCGGCGACCAAGACCTTCCTAAGCTGTTGTCAACTAACAGTTCGCAAGGCTGGGATGTTGTCATTCGCGAAAGGACGGCGACTCACAGTAAGTCTCAGATAGAAGAATAGCATCGACAGCTTCAACAGCAGAAGCAGAGCGGAGTAGGTTGTCCATCCCGCGACCTGGATCTTGGACCCGATGACCCTGTGTCACACAAACTTAGCGCTCAGTACCATAATCCATTTAGATGGCACAGACCTTAGCGTAAATTCGGGGTCAGTGGTAGACAGTGCCGTCCGTTCATCATCCGTCATGCCATTGTTGGCCAGACCATGCGCGATGTTGCCCACCTCGTACGCCAAGGTCGACTGGATGGTGTAGAAGATCTGGATAGATTGGGATCAGCGATAAGCTTTTCGCGTAGTGGGATCGTCGGGAAACACGTTGTTGACATACAGCGGCACCGAATGCAAGGTAGTCATCGGCTCGGAAATTTCGGAAGCCAACGGCCTTCGCTCGGGCGAACATTCGGAGGAACGTCACAACCATACCAACGCCGTAGAGCGTCCAAGCCTCGATCGTCATCCGGCGAGCTGCTTCGGCAGCAGCTTGAGAGGCGGCCAGCGCCGCCGGGTCGAGGGTAGCATCACTCGATGACATTTCGGCTTGATGGTTGGAGTCAATCTCCGTCGAGCGAGCACGCAAACGGGGTGGGGAAGTCGGCGAAGATTGCGGAAACAGTCAGGACGAACTGCACGAGGTCCTTGGGAAACCCATCGTACAAATATTCAAGGCGGTTCACACCGGATGAGGGCAGAAGCGGGACAAAACATCTCAATGTTTGACTCAGGGCCCTTGATCCGGCACTACTGCACCGGATGTGCGAGAGGATCGATCATTGGAAACCGAGGAACAGGCTTCAACGCGGAACTTGGGAACGCAGAGTTACAGCAGCTGCGACGTTCCACGATAGAGGTAAACTTCTTCACTATGTGCAAGGCGACCTGTGGTATGGGCTCAGTGTTTGCCAGGGCCCTGGCAGCCTTGGTTTCCTGCATGGTCCCATCTCCGAGTTACGACCCTGTGAACCAGAATTTGTGTCAGGGGTATTGGAACACTAGCAGAACAAACGCAAGTGACAGACGTGACGGATTATGCAGCTAAGCTAGAAGGGTCCCTGAAGCCCATGAACATGTTCGTTCCCATCGGACAATGGCCGATTCCGGTGAGCAGTACGTGCTTTGCTACCTCAACGGTGAGTGCGTACAAGGACGTTGCAATCCTTCCTCTAGCTTCGTTCGGCGACGAGCCGATAAACCTCGGAACACGATTTCCATCTGATATCCTCGTTGCGACTGCCATATGACCGGCCAAGCAACAAAAAGGATACCTTGAAGGACCTAGCACTTGAGAAATGGATGTTACTCCACTTCTTCCAACATCTCTCTCTGGTAACAAGCTCTTCAGTGGGGATGTGATCACATATCTAACTTGCATATCACATTCAAGTCTGAGGCCTCAACTTACCTCCACTACGTTCACCATAGGGCACGCTGGACAAGCCAATTTCGACGGTTGAAGGAGGAATTTCTCCACCATGCCAAGCTGCTAGATCAGGATGATGAGAACTGAGCCCTGTTGACCCCTGACTCGCCTGGCGTACGACGCGCACAAAATCCCCTGACCCCTGGTGGAGGTCCGAGCGGCAACGGCTGTGCTTCCCCGGCGTCGAGCATCTCCACTACAATACTTTTCTTTACGATAAGGTAATACGGATACTTCGGGGGATGTGCTGAGGGGGCGGAGACAAAAGGGGGTCTTCGCCAGTCGTGAGAGTGATCAGGGTCGGCAACTCGAGCGAACCGATGTTCGGCTCCCCTGAGACTCACCATTCAAATCCTTTCGGCGAAGAGACCTGATAAAAGCTTTATACCGGAGGTTTGGTTGAAATAGTTCCACGGAACACAAGAGTTACACGGAAGACAAGAATGCGTAAGGGTTCAAGTCTATGTTTGACAGGTCTATGCGGCCCAAAAGGTAAAACATGGTCCGGCACTTGGGCGGCGCAGACCATAAAGCAGCGTCGTCTGGTCTGGTGTGTTTCCTTTCACTCCGCGTCTAGACCGAACGTCTGAAGCTTTTCTCATCGATCCCCTGCCTTACGAATCGTTAGCTTCCAACATCGAGTCCAACATGAGACCACGAGACCATGCGCCCAAAACATTCCACAACTGAAGAAACCCTCTATCCTTTGATACCGAGAAGCGCCGCGGCTGTGGCGTCCGTCATTTGCCAGGTGCCGCATTGCCGAGACTTTTTAGCAGCCGTTGAGGCGTCGGAAGTCGGACTTTGAGAGGGAGGAAGAAGAGGAGGGGCAAGAAGTGGAGCACGCAGTCTTCATCTCTCCGAGTTGCGTAGCATTGCATAGTGGCACAATCGCCCTCAGTAGCATCCGGAAGTTTTGGTCATGGCCGAAGAACTTGGCATCAGCACTCTGCAAGCTTTTGGGTTTTGAGAGCCACACCAACTGCACAGGTTTCCCATGGTACGGGCCGCAGGATTTGCGAGGAGGCATCCGAGGCTTTTACAACACTGGGAGTTGATGGAACGATGTCCCGCTTCTCGAGGTAACGTCAGCATTGGGGCCCGCTGCGGTGTTGGTGCTGATTGGAAGGGTTCTAAATGAATGCAACCGACTTACAAATTGATCCAAGGGAGGGACACGTGGAACAGAACTAGGTCAAACGTGGGCTTTCAGGTCGCCAGTGTCTCGCAACTTTCAACAAGTCAAGACGACGAGCCTGACCAGCTGGTGTTTAACGCCGACGGACTATCGCTTCATCAGGATCGCGCATAAACTTGGGTTCTAAGCCCCAGGATCGACCGACCACACCTGCAGATATCGATGTGGGTTCACAGGGCCTTTTCCCTCTTTTGCCCCGAACTATGTGCTGGTCGGGCGGCGCAGAAGCAAGGCCATATGCATGCCAATGCAGGGTAGGGGAGCCACTTTGTACATGGGACCGAAATTAAGAATGCAAGCAGCGTTGCGACGGAGGAACTTGGCTTACCCGCGACTGCGACCGCATCATGACATGGATGGCGAAATAAATACTAATCGCGGCGCTGTGTCTTCACAGGTTCTTGCTTGCGCGGTACGCTCAACCACCGGAAGGGCCTGTCACTGTCAGTCGCTACAGATACCACCACACTCTCTTTGTCTCAAATCCTGCGATCGGGTTACACTTGGGCCGACACCTCGGGATCAGTTGCATCCTTGGTGAACAAGAGTTTTTATCTTTGACCAATATCCCTCGTTTCTGACCTCTCTCCCCCCTGCCGTCATCATGTATCGATTCAAGATGGAGGTGCTCACAGCCGTGGCTGCATGGGCGATCGCCTCATCCTGCGCGAATATCCCCGTCGCCCGTCAATTTCTCGGAGGCATCTGCGCGAGAGACACCGCGGAGCTGGGTAACAAGCTCTCGGACACCGCCAAGATCTATGAGCCGGGCTCGGCCGACTTCACCAACGCGACCATCCGGTGGTCTAACCTTAACGCACCGACCGTCAGCCTGGTCGTCGTCCCCGGAACGGAGAACGATGTTGCTGAGACAGTAAGTTCCGATCTTCCACGTGCCTTGATGGGACCGACAGAGCTTGAGCTAGTGGCTAATAATTCGATCTAGATCAAATTCGCCAATGAGAAGAGCTTGCCCTTCCTTGCATACAACGGCGTGCATGGTGCTATCACCACCCTCGGCAAGATGCAGAATGGTATCGAGATTTATCTCAACCAGCTGAGCGGCGTCGAGGTCTCTGAGGATGGCCAATCCGCAAAGATTGCCGGCGGTACCCGCTCCAAGCTTGTCACTGACACTCTCTGGGAAGCCGGAAAGCAGACTGGTAGGTCAAATACCGAAAATTAGCTCAATCTCTACGTTACTGACATCCTTATCAGTCACTGGCACTTGCGAGTGTGTCAGTACGCTCGGACCTGCCCTTGGAGGTGGTCATGGCTGGCTGCAGGGTCACCACGGTCTTGTTGCTGATCAGTTCCTCTCCATGAACATTGTCCTGGCTAACGGAACCCTTGTCACCATCGATGAGAGCTCTGACCTTTGGTGGGCTGTCAAGGGTGCCGGCCACAACTTTGGTATCGTCACTTCAGTCAACGTTAAGGTCTATGACATCGAACACAGCAACTGGGCCGTTGAGACTCTCATCTTCAGTGGAGACAAGGTCGAGGAGGTCTACCAAGCTGCCAACGACCACCTCCTTAAGAACGGAACCCAGTCTGCTGACGTCGTCAACTGGTCCTACTGGCTGAACAACCCCGACGCCGATGCTGAGAACGTGAGTTACATCCATTTCACGTTCATGGATAACACAGACTGACTGATCTGATAGCCCATCATCTTGTTCTGGATTATCCAGGAGGGTGTCGATGTTGTCGACTCCACCTACACCCAGCCCTTCCTCGACATCGGCCCTATCTCTGCCACGCCCACTGCCGGAACCTACCTCGACCTCGCTACCTGGACCGGAATCGACCTTGATGCCATCCCTTGCCAGAAGGCCGGCCTCAACAACCCCCGTTTCCCCATCTACGTCGAGTCATACAACGTGACCGCTCAGCGCCAGGCCTACGACCTGTTCGCGGCCAACGTCAAGACCGACTCTCCCTTCTACAACTCCCTCTTCATGTTCGAGGGTTACTCTAACGAGGGTGTCAAGGCCGTCGACAGCGACTCAACTGCCTTTGCCTTCCGCGAGGACAACCTTCTCTTCGCCCCTCTCATCACCTACACCCCCAACGGCACTGCCCTGGACCAGCAGGCTGCTGACCTCGGCAACCAGCTGCGCCAGATCATCCACGAGGGTAGCGGTCGTGAGCAGATTCACGTCTACCTCAACTATGCTTTCGGTGACGAGACGACCTCTGAATGGTACGGTGCTGACCAGTGGCGCCAGGATCGTCTCAAGTCTCTGAAGTCCAAGTATGACCCTGAGGGCAAGTTTAGCTTCTATGGCCCGATTGCCTGAGCGCACTAGGCCTTAGAATTAGTCATTGGGGAAGATCCGAAGAGAAAGATAGCGTTGTAGAATGATGCATATTGAACATGAATAGACAGCATGTGTCCATGACAATCCGTTTCCCCAAAGCAATGCGTGTCTTCACATTAGTGCACCTCTAAGATAATGGCTAGGGCTACGAGGTGGCCTCGCCCCCACGGCTCTTTTGGATCCCTATGTGTTTCAATCTCAAGACTTTTAAAGGCATTTAATCACCAGCTGGGCTGGTCCCTAAGTCTAGTCGCTATGTTAGGAATGTGGCCCCCGCAGGTTCAAGGACCCGAATCCTTCGGGCGGAACGCCAGTCAGCATACCGGCGCCGGCGTCTGACAAATGCGCCCGCTTTTTAATTGACTCGGCGCCGAAACCTATGATCTTTCTAATGTCGTTCTCTGCTCGACGCAAAAAAATGCATACATAAAAGCTTCGATATGGTGGCGTTTATTGACCTGAATCGTCTCTTAACATTTTCTAAGCATCGCTTACCACAACGAAAGTTGATTCTTTTCTGAATAAATCGAAGCCAAATTCTACTCTCAAATCCTCATTTTACAATGGCTGGTCATCTTCCCCGTCGACGCATCGTCCTGTCCAACCTGCCACTCGAGCCTAGTGGATCAGCCACCCAGACCGAACCTGCAGTTGAAGTTTTGACAGAGCAGTTGCAGACTGAGGAGATGTTTGGAGGCCTGCTTCGCAAAACGCCTGTGGGGACTGTCTCTGCTGTTCCCACTAAATTTGATGGATCGTAAGCTAGAAAGACCTTAACAAACTGGATTGAGCTGTACTAACCTGGAGAAGAGGACTTCCCAAGATTGAAGCTGCTCCCGGAAGCGGCGTTGTCTTTCCTGGTGGTCTCAACGTGTACTTCCTGGATCTTGCGCCTGGATGCACAACTCCCATGGTGAGTTAGGTTCTTAGTAAGACTGCCAGACCACAACCTAACGAGTCGGTAGCATCGCACTCCCTCGGTCGACTACGTCGTTGTCAATGAAGGAACCCCGACCCTTGTTACTCCTAAGACGGCGTTCAGTGTGGAAAACGACAAGGGGGCCTGGAATGAAGTTGTTGAGACTACCCTCCGCCCTGGAGATGTTGCCGTCCAGCGAGGAGCCATGCATGTGTAAGTTGGACAGCCCCTTTCCACAGACTATTTCTCCGCAAAGGCTTGCATAGGCTCTAACAGATTACCATCTAGGTGGGCCAATCGTTCTGACACCTGGGTTCGTATGCTCGGTGTTATCGTCGACGCTAAACCATCTCAGGTTGAGGTTGGCGGAAATGTGGTGCAATTGGGTGAGAGATGGCTTCAATGAGCTTTAAGTACCTATGCAAGGGTGTAGTGTGATCAACGTTGATTGAACCCGGGAAATGACCTCGGTCTTGACCAACCTACCGTACAGGTCCAGGCACAGGCACTGGTAGTAATGGCCTTTAGGTGCTGGTTTTGAAGTCTTTCTCTATAAACGTACTATCTGTAGAAGTCGTGGGGTTAGTATTATAGTAGATAATTTCCCGCGGGTGTCTTATATACTAAGATGTTTGATTTAATAAAGTCTGAAGTGATATTGTTACGCTGAGGGTTACTTTGGTTTATTATGTCTACTGCAGGTCTATTGAGGGTGAGTGATCAGTCTATTCTCACATGTACGAAGGGCTATATTATGACCTAAGCGGTATAGTTGCCGAGTAATCATTAGTGCCCGAGAATCTCAACTTGTATCATTACAAATGAATTATCCCGCGTTGAGAACGTGCTTATATAGCGACAGCTTTCCTCATCTTTTTAGATTCTCAGACCTCTATACCTTTTGAAACAAAATCGCCATTTCAGTATCAATTGTAGCTTATAACCTAATGGAGTAATATTAGATGTCAATGCAAATGACAGTTCTAAAAATAGACGGGTATAGAAACAAATAGAAAGCTTCTGGCAAACTTGCGCATCTTAGAACCTGGGAAATACCCACCCCAGCATGGTCTGTCCTTGGATTGTCTCAAGAAGCAATTTCTTATGTTCTTTGTGCTTTGAGATTTTACTTCTATTTTAATGCTTTTTGCAACGCGTGGGCCCCAAGTGTAGCCTCTCAGCCCATCATTATTAGCTGAGCTCGTTTGCATCTTACCAACGTCCTTTCAACGGGCCCTTCACGCAACGCATGCACGGCTAAATGCATTTGTTTGCGACTCCAAAACGTGATTACGTGATTGCCAAGCAGATATGATGTTGTATGTATAAATAAAAGACGTGTGGTGTCTCCTTAGGACTCACCCTCCAGCTCAGTACCACCAACAACCATTATCCAGGCCATTTACTGCGCCATACGAAAGGTTCTGGCTGGTGACAAGGAGTTCACCATAAGCTGGTATCTTCTTGCTAAGGGCTCTAGCAAGGATTCTACCGTTTTGACGACCACAAGTAGCGGCACGCTGCGTTTGCTACTTTGCATGGACTTTTGAACAACCCCTCATCTCAGCCCGCAACGAAATTCAACATGGCTAGATCGAGCAAAGCCCCCGACGATGCGTTAGTGCCCTGATCTTCAACATGAAACCGGAGACTTTGTGTGCTCATAGCGGACATACCCAAATGGCTGCTGACTGATTGTATCACTAGTAAGGCTGGCTTTGACATAGGAAGCACCAGCACGCGAGCTTGCGTCGAGTGTCCATCGAGAGAACTTTGCATCGAGGTTGAGAACAAGGACATATCCAAGGCAGCATCCCATAAGCACGACCCGGGAGACTACACGTCAACAGGATACCCGTTTGATGACGATAACGAGGAAGTCTACTTGGGCGAAAAGACTGACCCCGACCGATTGGCGATATCTCTCAAGTATGCCTTCTACGTCTTATCGGGTGTCTCTGACGATGTTATGAGCCATTATGCTTTGATCAAGCCACTGCGGAAGCGTATGAATGAGGAAGGCTTTCGCAAGAGACTCCGCCGAGGTCTCGTTGACCTGTTCTCGAAGATCTGGAAGCAGATCGAGAAGCTTTGCAAACTAGAGCGGCTCAGGATCACGACGATTAGTCTTTCCATTCCAGCCCAATGGACGGATAGCAGTGGCAAGTTCACCGAAGTCTACGAAGACATCATGCGTGAAGTCATTGGGGCGGGTTCCCGTGACATGGAGTTCTGCTTCGTTACCGAGACCGAGGCATTGGCTCATTACCTGCTGAGGGATCACCTCGAAGAGCTTCGCCGCCATGGACACCGCGGTGAACATAGTGCGTTTTTGTTCCTTGACTTTGGCGGTCATAATATGGTAAGCTGCATGCCCCATCTAGCATATCGCCAATCACGTTGAGCCTGAGACTTACTTCGAGTTACAAGAACGGCTGCATTTTCAATGTTGTCTATGGCGAAGATCATGAAGCAAGCTTCTACAGGGTTGGCGAGGCTTTCGGTGAGCTCCCGGCGCACATTCAAGCAGCTTGCAAGGATTAACCAAGTCTAGGCGCGGGAGGTGGAAGCGAGCAGTGGTCTTACGACGTCAGCGAGTTATGCATCGAGCGGAGCGAAGGTCTAACGGGTCGGCGCATGACAGCCGAGAAGAAGCAGGAGCTTGTCGACAAGTTCGACAGGTTCAAGGATAGTCTGGGCCCTGGTTTTGACGACGAAAAGCCTTTCGAATTCGAGGGAACGATCGTTTCGCCCGAGGAGATAAGACACCTTTTCGAGAAGGCGCACGAAAAGATTCTCAAGCTGGCAAAACGTCACATCGCAACTCTCTCCAAGTTCAAGATAACCGACAACACCGTGGTCGTTGCTGGTGGAACAGCAAAGCATGCCGGCATCAAGCAGCGCCTCCGAGAGATGTGTCTGAAGAAAGGGGTGCCAGAGCCAGTATTTGTCAACGTTGATCTCTGCGTGCGTTACGAGTAAGTATTACATGAGGTCTTCAAATCCATGGACTTGGTCAGCGCTGATGTGGTTCAAAGCTCAGTCAAAATCGCTAAAGGGGCTGCCTATTCGGCCTCGACAAAGATCAGCATTGACGATTTCTTGCGACAGGGCGCTGCGTTTGGCATACAGCGGAAGGCTGTAGGGACTGGACCAGGCTCTGGCAAGAACAAATACTGGGAAGACACTGCAGAGGTGCTTTTCAGCAAGGTATACAGAGCTATCCTTGCCCTCCACTATGTGTCGTCTAACCCTCTTTCAGGACAAGAAGGATGCTCTCGACCTTAACTTTGCGACCGGCTGCGACGAGTTCAAGATCATCTGCGACCCATTCTTTGGGCGCACTGGCTCATCCCGACTGTTTTATGACAGATGCTACGACGTCCTGTACATTGGCAAGCTGAAGAGGGGTGGCTCTAGAATTACGATGTCCTTGGAGAAGAGAGACGGCAAAGACTTTGCTGTACTCAAATCTGAGTGGGCGCACGTTAGAACTAAGGGTATGAAGGAGTGGGTTGGCCCAGGGTTTACATCCCGCCCACTACCTCTGAGCTTTGACTGTGGGCCCAGCTGCTTTTTTATTGATGATGAGCAGCTCGACTTCGAACGCCTCTTGGCAGGAGGCACCAAGGTCGGCATAGCCGCCAGAACGCGTGCCAGCTTGGCGCGGCAAGGTGGAAGCATTAAGACATCACCTCGTTTAACCCCAAATGTGGAGGGGTCTCAGCATATGGCACCTATCGACGATGGGGTCTTGAGTTCAGCAGGGGTACGCGACATGGGCGATGATTCTGCCGCACCCATGTTGTCGCAACAAAATACTCGACCGGAGTACTCAGCTGCATCCTTCGAGTTACATCCTGCTCGGCAGTCTCCCAATGGTTCGGCGACCCCGCAGCCAGCACCAGTGGCTGAAATGGTGATTGATACTCAGAGCGACAATCCGTATCAACAGGAAGTCACGACCTCACAACCGGCACCGGTGGCTCAAATGATGATCGATGCCCATGGCAACACTCCCCGTGTCAGCAGGAACACAGAGCATCAAGGCCAGTTGTCACAGCCTTCGCTGAGCCCATCGCTGAAGCGACCCTCTTCGGAGTCAGGCGTGACCCTCCGGTCTGGTCGACAGTTTACGAGTGCAAGAGATGCCAAGAGGCAGAGAAGATATGAACAAGACAAGCAGAGAGGCATCTCTGACACGGAATCCTCTGATGCGGACTCCTCCGCCTATGACACCGGATCTTCAGACGAGGAGTATTATGCTTGAGTTTCACAACGTGTAGGGAGAATAGCACTGAACCTGGAAGGTTAAATCATTTCGACATTTGCAGACCTAGGATTGTTAAAAGCACACGAAGCAGACTAAAAACATTTTATTATTCCTTAGGCAGTAGTGCTTGATTTGGGCTGTGATTGAAACACACCTTAGGCAATGCAGCACGAGGCTAAACCTCTCCTACACTTGGTATTGGCATTTGGGTCTTGACTTACTCCAGGCTCAGCTAAACTATGCAGATGATTAGCAGCATGTTTGCTGACACTGCAGCCTGCAGTGTCGCTATAGCCTAACACAAAGAGACATTGTCCTTCACATGATAGGTAATACCAAATAGGGTATGATATACATCCCTAGACTTTATCATCTTCAACTATCAAAATGCAGTCCACATGATAACCTGCCTGAAGAGAGATAGTCACTGCTGACTTTTGTGTTGTACGGTAGAAAGTCTCGTAGATTCGCAATATGCTTGCAATACCTTACCTTGTCAGCTTTTGTAGAAGAAGACGCCATCTTCCGCGATGTGTATATTCTTTCATTACCTCGCATTGATTGTCTTTGGGTGAATTTCTGGATTGCGGCGCTGACTTGCGGACGAAAGCCGACTAACGCGCGTGATTTGCCATCAGTTCTCCTCTTTGGCTTGAAGCAAGACCACAATCTATACATTATCTTAGCATGTAATCTCTGCAGTGGAAATTGGAGAATAGCGCCATGTACTAATGTGCTGATGAGTGTTTTCGAGGTCAACGTTGTCGCGAGAATATGCTTTAATTCATCACGTTCTCACGTACGAGATGAAAAGTTTGGCAGGGGCCAGATCAGACTTTGGGAATCGTTTACCCTGGAGAGAGCCTGGCATGATGTGCTCAAGGGATGGCCTGGAACTTTAGTCTCTGTCAAATACTCCTGGGTGACAGGAGGTTGAAAGACATGGGCATTAGACGCTCTCTCTTTGCTTCATTGGTTCCCTTCACTTCCTTCAAGTTGAGCTGGGGGGTGTGGGTACACAGGCGTGATAAGGACGATGTCGCGGATGATAACGAGGATCTAAGGAAGTGCTCACCGACCCCAGGCTGACCGCCAATTTTGAAGTGTCATGTACCACTTGGCTTGTTAACACCTGCTAGTGGAGTTGACCTTACTTCGTCCTCCCCTCTTAGACCTACATGTAGGCAATATCATACCAGATGACGTATTCTGTGCGGTTAAATCAATTCGGCTGAGAGCTGAACAGAATAAGTACACACTCAACTCTATCAATGGGTGCTTACAGCATGAAGAGAACATTTCCACTGGATATTAAGCAGCGGGGAGTTCATTCTGACAGAGTGTGAAAGCCCAGTTTCTTGTTCCCAAAGTTGAGTGCGCGGTGCTCCGACCCTGGTCGTGCTGTGCCTTAGACATGCTTTTGGGGGCTGGCGGTTGGCTGCGGTTAGGCCGTTGGTGGCGTTTCACCCTGGTTAATTTACAGGCGTTCCGACATGGTTGCAATTTGTTATTCACATCTGAGGATTTTGACACTGTGCTGAGATTTGATGCAAAGTACCTGGGACTTGGGTCGAAAATATCTATCCAGGCGTTGGGTTCCTCTGCCCTGCCTCTGCTCATCTGGGCGACACTCCGCGGTATCCTACCCCCCTTCAAATTCCTTATCTTACCGGCATCGACCACAATTTCTCAGTATCTATTGTTATTCTGTATTTGTCTGAAGACAACAGCGTGGCCTCATCCATCAGCTCCACTGACATATTGATTCCTGAGCACCCTCCAACTGTGGCGTACATGACTGGCGGGCTTGTCCCCACTCATGAAGAACACCTTCATGATGAACAGACCTTCTGGCATAGACGATACGTATGACAAGAACCCAGTCTTGGTGTTTCAACCAAGATAGTCTTTTCTTTGAGCTGCATTCCAGTTTGCTAACGTTTTGGGTTTGTCAAGCTTCCTTGGCTTGGACATAGGCAGCACTAGCACGCGCGCTTTCCTCTGGTGTCCCAGAAGGAAGGTCAGAATCGACGTACCGAACACTGAGTTATTACTCGCGTGGAAAGGCAAATATGGAGAGGGCGAATTTTCGTCGGCAGGATATCCATTTGAGCCAGACCAGCAAGTATACTTGGGCGAAAAGGGCGATAGGAAACGGCAGGAGATCTCGTTAAAATACGCCTTTTACGTGTTGGTGCCCGAGGCAGACCACGGAGAGGACAAGTTCTTCGAGCAGTACGCCTTAGTCACTCCCTTGAGGGAGAGACAGCATGATCCTGCCTTTCGTCAAAGGCTTCGGCGGGGCCTTGTGGGCTTGGTTTCCGCCGTTCGAACTATGGTCCAAGAACAATGCAAATCTCGAGGTTTGCGAGTCACATCAATCGGTCTGTCAGTCCCTTCGCAGTGGACCATGGAATTCGAAGACGTCTATCGCGATATCGTAGGCGAGGTTTTCGACGAAATGACGAGTCCGAACGAGCAAATCTCGTTCCATACCGAGACTGAGGCCTTGGCCCATTTCCTCTTGCAGCACCATCTCGAGCAGCTTCTAGGCGAAGAAATCCTATCTGCAATCAAAAGAAATAGAATCGCTCCCAAGGTTCTTTTGTTCCTCGATTTTGGTGGACACAACATGGTCAGTCTCATCCTATATCCACAATTTACTCAAGGTTAGCGTGTCAGAAATCTTACCACAAGCATTAGAATGGATGCATTTTTAATGTTTCCTATGCTGGAAGCGGTAGGGCAAGCTTTTACAGCATTTCTGAAGCATTCGGTAAGCTATCCTCGCCTCATACTGCATGCGATTTCTGACCTTCATCCACGCAGGTGCAGGGGGTGGTAGCGAACACTGGGCTTATTACATGGGTGAGCTGTTCGAGCGAAAGCTCGAGGAGGCCCCTGGTTGCCAATCATCTTCTTCAGAAAAGAGGGAGTGGATCAATTGGTTCCACACGTTCAAAGATCAACTTGGGCCTATTCAACCGCACGAGCTGCTGGATCTTCAAGCAGAATTTGAAAATAAGCAGTTTGAGGTGTTCCACGAGGAGGTGAACGAATGTTTTGAACAAGGGATGGGAGGATGTCTCAAAGAAGCAGAGACACAAATCAACGCTCTTGGAGCAATCAAGGACACAAAACCGGTCGTCATCGTGTCGGGCGGAACCTCTCGGCACAAGGCAGTCGAAAGGCGGGTCAACGACATATGCAAAAGAAATGGAATTGAAGAGCTAACCTACGTATGGGACACGAAGAAGAAACGTATGGGCGAGTTTATGTAAGTGACGCCATGTTGTTCTCTAGTCCCAAAATGCGTGCTAATGGTTTGGAAGATCCGGTAATATTGCAAAGGGCGTGGCATATGCAGCTTCTAATCGCCTAACAATTGATGAATTTGTTCAACGAGGTGCAGGGTTTGGTTTGCAACGGAAACAGAACTCAACCCGGGGAAAACAAGAGTCAGATGACAGATGGGAAGATGTCGCACCACCGATATTCAGTCTCGTCAGTGTTCTCATTCCAGCCTTTCTGACTCGGTTGACTTTGGCTGACCTTCGTTTAAGACCAGCCAAGACCCTCTCGAAATTCTTGCCACCGCCAATGACGAATTCCGAATCATCTGCGATCCGTTTTTTGACATACAAGGTGCTAAGAAGATGCCTGAAATGAAATTTGATCGATGCTACGACATCATACACTTGGGGAAACCAAAGAATGGAGTGTGGTGGTTTGAAATGCTTCTCAGAACCCACAATGACCAAGTTGTCATGGTTCTCAAGACAAGACGGCAGTGGTTCGCGGGAGAGACCTATGAGGACGGGCGGCAATGGCGAAAGGGCCCTAAAGATCTTGATGCGCCCGGAGGAGATAAGAAGACATCTGTCATCCTTCCGCTTTACTTTGACGGCGGTAAGAACTGCTTCCTAATGCACGAGAGCTTCGACGTCGCTTCACTGAACTTGGGGCCTGATTTCAAGCCTGCAAAAGCGTCAAAGAAAGATCTGAACAAGGTGGCTGGCGCCAACAACAATGAAGGCACACGTCGCTCTGCTAGGCAAGCCGAGAAATCCGAACAGACAGCTACGGTGCGGGCGAACAAGACCAATGACTGTATCGACCCTACCAGACTGCAAGGCTCACCAGCATCCGATCAACAAGATTGTACCCCTACGGAATATCGACACTTGCCAACATGCGGCTCTCGATTCGTTCTCCGGGAAGGTCCTCCTGTTCTAGAAGCTGTAATGGCTCCGACGCATGCTTCCAGCCCTATGCCGACATCCATGCCGACACCACCATTGGCTCAAGGCGACTTCGACAACCAGGACATTCGGGGCCAAAAGGATATCCATCAGTCGTCAAAACACCGGCGGGTAGTGTCAGATGAGGCATCCGAGCGGACTCAAACAGTCAACAACCCGGCATCTAAACGGGCCAGGTCAGGGACAGGAAGAATACGGTATGTCGGGATTTCAGACGGCTCAGGGGATGACGACAGTGATTGAAACATGTGTATTTGACGTTCTATTATGCGTTTTGTGTGGATTTTGAAGAAAACCATGAATAAAAGAAGAACCTCACAAGAAGCGTTCTACAGGAAACTACGAACCAATCTTTACGCAGTTCAATCTCAATCTCTGGACCTCCATCGCTTTACTGTATCTCAGTAAATGGTGAAATGCGGCAGTGAAGGAATGCTAGGATCGGTCAAGCCGCACATCGGCCAAAAGGCTTGCGAGTCTTCCGCAAAACGACAGCTCCCTTGCCCCTGGAACAAAGCTTTCGTTGCAAACAAGGCCTTGAGTTCGGTTTTGGCATCCATAAACTGTTTGAAGAACACAGAATCGTAGTTGATACATCGAAGACAGCGTACAGTGCAGAGATAGGCACTTTGCACTTGGAGGGGTGCAAGGCTGCCTTGGCGAAATGATTCGCCTACGTGCCGCCTTGCCAACGATCCTTGCAAAAGATGTGAGGTTGCGGCCGAATATGCGGCCTGTCCAACAGAACAGCTCACCGCACCTCCGTGTCATCTCGCTCTCTAGCCATCTACTCATTGGCCATCCGTGGTCGCGAATGTACGGTACTTTCGAGGTTGGGAAAATGTGCACCAACACCCCTTATTTACAGGGTCATGACTCAAGCTGAGGGTGCTCAAAAGATCAAAAAAAAAAAGAAACGACACCATCATGACCGGTTGGGTCGCCCTCCACTATGTCTAGTTGAGGCGAAGGAATGAGTCTGCTCATCGACAAGCAGGAGAATGCAGGAAAGGTAGCATCCGAAAGACGAGGAACACCAAACGTGTGACAATAAGTACTTCACTGGAACCTCTTCCCCCGGGACTAGAGCTCCCGACAAAAGTGAGTGAGAGAGTGGGATCCGCGCATGCAACTATGCCAATTTGGAGTGGAACCCCTGAAAGTCTTCAGCCATGAAGCATTGGGTCCTTGACTTGCAAGATCAGGTATCAATGTGCAGGTGCTTCGTGCCTTTGCTTGGTGTGCCCAGCTTGATCTCCTCCCTTTTCACGCTGGATTCAGGCGCCAGAACGCTTCGGTCACCCCTTTTCACAAAGGTACAAGATATAGCAGACGCTGTGGAATCAAATCAATTTTGTGACTCATTCCTGCAGAATTGCCGTTTCAAAAGTGGCAAGCTGGAAAGTTGAAAGATTCGGCATGGTCATAGTGTGATCCGTGAAGGGCATGGGGGCTGTTTGGGCGGGAAGAATCGATTCGCATGATGGAGGGCCTGCCATTGAAATTCTGTTCGTGACTGGTTTCTGTGACGGTGGTCCGGGCCTCCCATGCGGTGGAGAGATTGAGTGCCGGAGATAGGTCGCTGATGGCCTTTGCACCGTGTATTCCATGAAACAAACGAATGCGACCTGGATCACAACACTATGAAAAATTTTGGTGGCTGCTGATGTTCACCCTGCAGGATTGAGTGCCCAGTAACGAAGAATGCGCCTGCAATAGCCGACTGTCGTGTTAGGAGCTTCCCCTACGCCCAAACGGAGGCCATTCCATTCTCATTCAGAGTAAAAGACTTAGGAAAGACAGGAAATGTAGTTTTGGGAGCTATTAGAGTTTGATGCAACCTTCTAAGGGTCGGGATCTTTCTCTAGCTTGTACCTTACTGCTTGAGAGTCTGGCATGTCAGCGAATCTCATCGATATCAATCTACGTGCGAATCTAGCATCATTTGCAAAGGGTTAATCGGCCAGCCTATACAAGTGAACAAGGTCCACAGCCGATGGCTGATATCCAGACTCCATTTTCAGGGCTAGACCCGCTCCACGTCTGAAATCCAATATAGGTTCCGCTCTGATATCACTGGTCACATTAGTGTACTTGAATCCAATGATGCGTATGGCATTAACATTAAGTCTACGGAGAAAACAAGAAGCTTCGCATTTATGGCTGCGGCAGAGTGTTTATCAAAGCCCGGTTCAGGGCGGGCATAATTCAAATGAACAGGAAATGTAATAATGACCGCTGTTGTGGATTTTTTGGAGTGTGTCAAACTGGAATGGCGAAAGTAAAAGCAGCGGCGAAGCAAAGTATCACATTATTGCGCTGGTCTGGCGTTGTATAGCTTTTTCCTATGGTACTAGGTAGGTTGAGAGAGCTTTCGGGGTTGGTACGCGAGACTATCTAGTCACCGAGGTAGACCGAGTCTTGTTTCGGTGTGCAGTCAGCAGACCGACAACTTCGGTCCAAGACGGTGTCACGGTCTGAGACGGTCTAGACCTACCAAAGCGCCCGGCTACTGCCGCGTTATCAAGCTATCTGCGACATGACGTCAATGTTCCCTGTCAACCTGCCAAATTCAAGGCATCAGAAAGCCTGGATTGCGCGCTGTTTCGGCGCCAGTCCCAACAGATTGGGGGTTGCTGGTTGGCACGGCACGGAATCCTGTTAGCGTCGCGCCATTTCCATGTTCTAGGAGCTTTCTGCGGTTTCTGTGTCGCAGATACGCATGTGCTTCTCACCTGAGCCGCCATCGCGCGAGGGCCGGAATGCCAGCCCGGGGCGATTTGATTTGCTCGTTCTTTGCTTGTCACCACGTCAACCTGCAGTGTGAAAGAACATGGGGAAACAGCCACGACGCGACGCCTCGTAAGATTTCGCTGCTAGGAGGCAAGGACGTGCGTTTCGTTTCTAGCGTTCGTCAATGTCAATGCCCTTTCCCTGCAGCGGTGAAAGAAGCTTTATCTAGAGGAAAGCGCCTCCTTCTCGCAAGCGCCATGTTCCAACCTGCTCTCCCCTCCTTCAACCCCTCTGGACCTCTTGTGTGATCGACACGGTTTACCCCTCACCATCTCGCCGCCGACCCCTCATCAGCTTTCAACGCCGTCGCCCACGACGCCAAACATCGCCAAGATGGGAGAACAAGAACCGACCCCCGAGAACCACACGATGATGCAGGGCTTTGAGTGGTATGTCCCTGCTGATCAGAAGCACTGGGTGCGACTGGAGAAGCACGTACCGCAGCTCAAAGCTTGGGGCGTCGACAACATCTGGATCCCGCCAGCGTAAGCCTCCAGTCGATTGCGCGATTGAGCGATCATTAGCTTACGTTGAAGGCAGATGCAAGGGCTCATCGAAGACTGGAAACGGTTACGATATCTACGATTTGTACGTCGCGCTCAATTGGGGCGATTGGACCGCAACGCTGACCAGCAAAGGTACGACCTGGGCGAGTTCGACCAGAAGGGATCCGTCGCGACGAAATGGGGTACCAAGGAGGAGCTCCTGAAGCTCGCGCACACAGCAAAGGACAATGGCGTCGGCATTTACTGGGACGCTGTCCTGAACCACAAGTTCGCAGCCGATCGCAAGGAGAAGTGCCTCGCCCAGGAGGTGGACCAGGAGGACCGCACCAAGTTCGTCAGTGACAAGTACGAGATCGACGCCTGGGTCGGCTACGACTTCCCCGGTCGCAAGGGCAAGTACAGTGATATGAAGTATCACTGGTACCACTTCAGCGGTGTCGACTACAACGCGAGGAACGAGAAGACGGCCATCTACAAGATTATGGGTGACAAGGGTGACCAGCAGTGGGCTGACGCCGTCGACGATGAGAAGGGCAACTAGTAAGGACAAATATCGCTGCCATCAATGCCTCCCAAAGCTGACTGGAGTTCGCTAGCGACTTCCTCATGGGTTCAGATCTCGACTACGACCATCCCGAGGTCGTGAAAGATGTCCTCAACTGGGGCAAGTGGCTGGCGAAGGAGGTGCCCCTCCAGGGAATCAGATTCGACGCAATCAAGCACTATAGTGAGGACTTCTTGCGCCAATTCATTACCGAGCTGGACAAGGAATATGGCAAGGGATGGTTCTTTGTCGGCGAGTTCTGGAAGGACAGCCTCGACGACATGACCGAGTATCTGGCTCGCATGGGCCGTCAGTTCACCCTTTTTGACGCGCCGCTGGTATACAACTTCAGCGAGATCAGCAAGGGTAACGGAGCGGATATGAGAAAGGTCTTTGACGACACGTTGGTGCAGAAGGAACCCATCAACGCTGTGGTAAGTCCGACTCTTTTCTGACCTTCGTAGGGCCATCTGACAGGAGCAGACCCTCGTCATGAACCACGACACTCAACCTTACCAAGCCCTCGAGGCACCGATCGAGGGCTGGTTCAAGCCCATTGCGTATTCTCTCATTCTCCTCCGCTCCTCCGGCTACCCTTGCGTCTGGTACGGTGACCTCTACGGCATCAAGGGAGAGCACCCCTTCCCGCCATCATGTGGCGGCGCTCTGCCGAAACTTATCCTTGCCAGGAAGCTCTATGCCTACGGTGAGCAGGCCGACTACTTTGACTACGCCACGTGTCTCGGCTGGGTCAGGTACGGAACTTGGGACCGTCCCTATGGCTGCGCGGTCGTTGTCAGCAATGCCGGGCCCGGCTCCAAGCGGATGCACGTCGGCGAAATGCACGCTGGAGAGGTTTGGACCGATGTCCTCGGATGGAACGACCGTGAGGTCACCATTGGCGACGATGGCTTCGGCGAGTTCGTATGCTCTGGCACTTCAGTGAGCATCTTCGTCAACAAAGATGCAGATGGCAGAGACAAGTTTACGAAGGAATTGTGAGTACCGTCACCCCTTCCCTTGGCCTATGGATACCAGCTAACGTCTGATAGCGACTCCAACATTTACGAGGAATAAGTTGTCAGTGGATCATGAAGAGGCTTGAAAATCCTTAACGGTTCTTGTTTTCCCTTTGGCTAGGACCTACTGAATAAGGCCTGCATCGTGTGGTTTGATGGGTTGGTACCTAATGGGAACATGGTCAGCAGTCATAGAGCTTCCTAAAATTCCGTATTATTATGGAATAAGTCTAATCTTAAAACTTGGTTTAATGGGACTTTCAAAGTCGCCTTTAAATCGACGCGTGTCCACTTGGGTGATTATCAATCGGAACGCTGAACCATGAGCTCGGCAGAGGTCATGCCCCGCCATTTTCCACATGAGGGGCTGGATGGGACGGATCAGGGCGGCATCGCCGGTCTCGCCCGTGCGACTGAGCATTTCAAGAGCTCCACCTTGGTCACTTTTTGGTCTTTTCTCCACTTGGAGAAGCGAAGCGGATTGACGGCTAAGTAGCTGTATGTGGCTAGAATCCAGCATGCTCTGCAGTACCTCTACCGCCTAGCCGTTCCTAGTCTGACAATTGGAGCTGCATGTCAACCTGCCTAAAGTTGCCGGGCCGGGCAAGTGTATCCTTGAAGTGACATTCGCATTCACATACTGGAAGTGGATAACTACATTCGCATTGTCCTTCTGGATATGGGGAATTATGCTCGAGTCTTTCTCGTTTAAGAACGCAAGATACGTGAAAAGCACGAGTCGTGTCGACGACTCAGCCGTGATTAAGAGAAGCTTCCCTCTGCCCAGGTGGGGGTTTATGCTTCTTCTTAACACCGATATCATGTCGCCCGTTCGCCGATGAATCACAGACTTCCATCAGTCCGAGGGTTGATTGTCCACTTGCTAGATATGGCCAATGTGCGAGATATCCATACGTTGACCCGATTCCACCCGGGCCGGTGGACAAAACCTCAGACAAGAAGGGTGCACCCAGCGATCCCCGCATCGTGACGCTTAGCTTATCGCCGATTTGTGCCCCGGGCCCCCACGTCATTAACCCCGCCGGCGGCCGTGGGCCGCAGCTATCAGGTGCGGAGAAGCCATCCGGCCGGTATGCCCACCCGGTGTGTGGTGTTTCATAGGCTTCCTGAATTTCCTCTTTGTCATCGCAACCGAGCAGACTGGATTATTCAGTGATCACTGAGCCTTCATAAACCCCTCACTGCGCACTCGGGTTTTCATTCAGTTTTGGGAATTATTAATCATCTTCTCTTTTCTTCACTTCAAAACCGTGATACCCCTTTCTCAGCACTGCCAGCTCTTATCAAAGTACCCCGCAGAGCAGCAAAACCGAACCTTCTCTAGGAACACAACTGAGCACGACCGTCAACATGGCCGACCTCTCCGTTCAGCTCCAGGCCCCGAACGGTGTCAAGTGGACGCAGCCCACTGGTCTCTTCATCAACAACGAGTTTGTCAAGTCTTCTACCGGCGAGACTATCGACACGATAGACCCCGCGTAAGCTCAACCCCCTCATCTCTTGAGACACGAAAGCAGAATAGCTAACACATGCTGTAGGACCGAAGAGAAGATTGCCGCCGTTCAGGCCGCATCGGCTGATGATGTCGACAAGGCCGTGAAGGCTGCCTACGCCGCGCTGAGGCACGAGTCCTGGAAGGGCATCTCGGCGACGGACCGTGGAGCTCTCATGTACAAGTTCGCCGATCTCATCGAGCAGAACAAGGAGGTTCTCGCCGCCATTGACGCGTGGGATAACGGTAAGCACAGGGCACCGACAACTTGTGGCTGATGAATGAAGAAACTGAGTATCCCGCAGGCAAGACGTACGCAGACGCCCTCGACGGCGACCTGTCAGAGTGCGTCACCGTCATTCGCTACTACGCCGGCTGGGCCGACAAGACCTTCGGCCAGACCATCAACACGACCCCGGCAAAGTTCGCCTACACGATCCGCCAGCCCATCGGCGTCGTCGCCCAGGTCATCCCGTGGAACTACCCCCTCGCCATGGCCACCTGGAAGCTCGGCCCCGCCCTCGCCTGCGGCAACACCGTGGTCCTTAAGGCCGCCGAGCAAACCCCCCTCAGCATCCTGTTCCTGGGCACCCTGATCAAGGAGGCCGGCTTCCCTCCCGGCGTCGTCAACTTCGTCAACGGCCTCGGCCGCGTCGCCGGCAGCGCGCTAGTAGGCCACCCGCTCGTTGACAAGGTCGCCTTCACCGGCAGCACAGCGACCGCGCGCGCCATCATGGGCGAGGCCGCCAAGACGCTGAAGAACATCACCCTCGAAACCGGCGGCAAGTCGCCGCTGCTGGTCTTCGACGACGCAGACATCCAGCAGGCCGTGCGGTGGTCGCACATGGGCATCATGTCGAACCAGGGCCAGATCTGCACGGCGACGTCGCGCATCATCGTGCAGGCGTCCATCTACGACGACTTCATCAAGCGCTTCGTCGAGACGCTCAAGGCCGTCAGCAAGGTCGGCAGCCAGTGGGACAAGGACACCTACCAGGGCCCGCAGGTGAGCAAGGTGCAGTACGAGAAGGTGCTCGAGTACATCGACATCGGCAAGGCGGAGGGCGCGAACCTCGCGGCGGGCGGCACGCCGCTGAGCATCGGCGGCAAGGGCAAGGGCTTCTTCGTGGCGCCGACGGTGTTTACGAATGTGACGACCAAGATGCGCGTGTGGGGCGAGGAGATCTTCGGCCCCGTGGTGGTGATTGCGAGCTTCAAGGACGAGGAGGATGCGGTGGGCTTGGCGAACAGCACGCAGTACGGCCTGGGCGCGGCGGTGTTTACGCAGAATGTTGAGCGCGCGCACCGCGTGGCGTCGGAGATTGAGGCGGGCATGGTGTGGATTAACAGCACGCAGGACAGCGATCCCCGCGTGCCGTTTGGTGGTGTGAAGCAGAGCGGTATTGGAAGGGAACTGGGTGAGGCGGGATTGGAGGCGTACTCCCAGATCAAGTCTGTTCACGTCAACATGGGTACGAAGCTGTAGGGGGCTTGAAGTGGGTGTTTGATCAACGATTTTGATACTTAATGAAGGAAATTGAAAGTTACGTCAACCGGAGTCAGTGACAAAGTTGTTGGTGTTGATGAGTGTAAGGAGACGGTCATGTGTCGACGCTTTAGGTACGCATAAGGCTCACATCTGTGACACATGGCCGCATCATCCGTATGAAAGGTGACCAAGGTGACGATGAAGGTTTGATTTCTCATTGATCTCGTCGTCTATGGAAATAGTACTAGGTCGTAATGCCCTGGAAGCAGCTGCACCTTCTTTCCAGCCGCCTTTCTAGACCCGTCGGTCCCCTGCCTAGTGATCTCGACTTCGCTCTCATCTCTCGGCAGCAGCAGTGTAGCCTTCGTGCTCGTTGGAACAGTAACCTTCATCCGCACATCGTCGCCCTCACGCTTGAAGGTGACCTCAATCATGCCATAGGGACACTCAAACGTGCCTTCGACCAGGTTGAACTCCGACCTGAGCGGAGGCTTCACAGTCCACGTCCTGTACGCGTCGTCCTCGACCTTGACTCCCAGAACAGCCTCATAGAACCACTCGTAGATCGTGCCGAGCATGTCGTGGCACTTGCTGCGGCACGCGTCCTGCCAGAACTCGTTGAGCGTGGTCTCGCCGCGTCGCAGGAAGCGCATGTACGAGGGGTGCTCCTCCTGGCGGGCCATCGCCATCACGATGTCGGGCCTGTCGACGTCCGTGAAGGTGTTCCACAGCCACTTGAGGCCGATCTCGCCGGCGCGGATTCTGCAGTCCGAGACGTCGTCTACGAAGGCCTTCTGGACGTCTGAGATGTGCTCTTCGGGGACGAGGCCGAACTGGAGTGCCATTGCTTGGGCAATCATGGTGCGGTCGTGGGTGTCTGGTTTGTCGAGGGAGGTGTAGAAGGCGTAAGGATGCTCCTTCTTGTCGGCGATGAGGAGGTGTTGGTTGTACACGTTGTAAATCCTGTCAGCCCATTCCCTGAATCGCTTCTCATCTTCGGCGTAACCCAATTCTCGAGCCATCAACTCAACATTGCGGAGACACCGGTAGTAAATCGCGGTCTCTATGTTAGCTTGATGGTTTCCGAACGCAATGTCCCGACCCCAATCGCCGAGACCGTGCTCAATCAGCCCGCCATGCCGCTCCTTTGTGTGCAGATACTCCATGTACCGAACACAGGGCTGGTACATCTTCTGGAACATGTGTGTAGACCCGTAGTACTTCTTGAGGATCTCAGGGATCAGGGCAATGGCACCTCCCCAGGTGATGGTGTCATGAAGCGGGCCGCACATATATCTAATTTCAGGGGCCATCGTGGGCACCAGACCGTTATACTCCTGCGTATCGAAGATGTCATCGAGGATCTTGGAGTGGAGGGCTTCAATGTCGCGGATGTACTGCGTCGCTGGCGCGAGGAGATGCGTCACCTCGAGCCATCCAAACTTCTCAATTTGCGGGCAGTCGGTGTGGTAGCTGAAGAGATTGCTGACGAAGGACCAGTAACACATGTTAATCAGCGCGTTGGCGTCTTCGACGTCTGTCTTCATGGTACCGAGACGACGGGCTGCGGAGGAGACATGACGGCCGACGACGGAGTGGATGACGGGAAGCCCCTCGCCCTCGATTAGTGATACACCTTCGACCTGGATGTATCGGGCACTCGTAAAGCTGAAGTCGGGCTCCCAGACCTCGATGCTTCCGGTGCCAGCTAGGGTGATCTTGGAGTAGACTTTGGTCTCAAACTCCTTGAACAGAGGGTCAGGCATCAATACCCTGCCAGTCTCGTCAACGCTCTCGGAGTACCGCACGATCACCTCAGCCCCTGCCGGTCCGCTGACCTCGATGCGGACCATGGTTGAGGCATTCTGGCCCAGGTCAACGGCCACAACACCACGCTCCAAACTCTTCTTCGAGACCGGTTCAAATGTCTCGTGCAGGGTGACCGGCGGCTGGCTCTGGTACTTGAGCTTTCCTCGCGGCCCGGTCACAGGCGCCGCCGGCTTCCACTCCGATTCATCGAAGCCCGGCGCATCCCACCCGGCTGGGTAACACCGGAAATCCTTGTTCTCCGAGGCGTAAATATTCGCCAGCGTAGTCGCACTTTTCCTCGTCTTCCAATCGGGCCCGGTGATGATGGTCTCCCTACTACCATCCTCATAAAAGAGGTGCAGCTCCGCAAAGAAGCAGAGCTCGTTGCCGTACCGGACATATGTGTTGTCCTCGTACATTGGCCAGAAGAAGCGGTCGCCTTGGTCGCCTGCGTAGAAGCCGTTACCAACATGAGCGCCCAGCACGTTTTCTCCTTCGTTTAGGAAGCTGCTCAGGTCATAGGCGACGAACTGGACTGTGCGGTGGTAGTTCGTCCAGCCCGGGTCCAGGACGTGGTTTGAGGCCGGGGTGCCGTTGCAGGACAGGTTGAAGTGGCCCAGGCCTGAGGCGAAGGCGACGGCTCGTGTGGGTTTGCGGTCGAGGCGGAGGGACTTGCGGAGGTAGAAGGGCTTGTCGCTGCTGTCGCCGATCCAGACGCCCTTCCAACGGTTAGGCTCGTCTTCGAACCAGGCACGGAAGATTAGACTCGTATGGGGCATCTGCGAACGAGTGAAATGTCAGTGTACAAGTTCATGGTAGTCGTTGCTAGGATGGACATACGTAGGTCTGGTTCATGCTGTAAGGAGGCAGAAGTCTGCTCGATCTGGGGTACGCGGTAAAGAATTCATTGAGGCCACTGGGTGAAGGCTGGCCATCCTGATCCCAGACGGTAACCTTCCAGTAGTGGAAGCTCGCCGACTTGAAGCCGCCGTCTGGCTTGCAGAGAATGTTTCGCTGAGCATTGCTCTCAACCTTGCCAGAATCCCACAGAATGTCTGAATGCGAGGATTGATCGAGCGCTTGTTGGCTCAGAGCGACCACCACCCGGTACGCTGTTTGCGAAGCATGCTCGACATCGGAATGAAGAGTCCAGTAGAATCGGATCTCGTCTGCGTCAATGCCCAGGGTCTCATGAAAAGCATGGATGCCGCAACGCGTTACTTCCATGGTGAACGACCAGGGTCTTGAAGGCCAGGGCGATATGTTGCCGTCAATAACGAGCTGGGCAAGCGAGACAGTTCACGGCCGTCCAAGCGGCTCAAGTATTGGTTCTCGGCCTAGTGCGTGTACGGTTTGTACGAACGTCTCGCAATGTTTCGGACAAGTTCCGCACACGAACAGTTCACGATGTGTAAAAAGAACATGGCCAGGCGAGGGCTTCAAGTCATCAATGTCCCGAGAGGACCGAGTTTCGGTGCTTTGTTATCTCGAAAAGGTGGCTCTGGCGGGGGCTGAAACATACCACTACCGTTGTTGGTTCCCCATTCACTTGGGTCGCATTGCGCCGAGAGTGGACAAGGTCTTGGGAGAGCCGGTGGGTTGGATCATCACAATTCGGTACTCGGAGGCTGGACTTTGAGTCCGCTATCTGGCCGAGCACAGTTGCCGAGTGGGGTTTGTGAGGGTGTCATCGAATGGGAGGCGGGATTCTCGCCGCGTTGTTGACAGGTTTGGTCCTAGCGTGTTGTTTGGCGGAGATCCCGGGGTGAGACCGGGTTTTCCGGGGCCGTCACCACCATATATTCAATGTACTCAGCTCATCGGGTTTTCGCAATTGAAGCGTCCCTCTTTCGAGCTTGCGAATTACGATGCAATGCCAGTTGAGTCAAACCAACAAGACTCTTCCGGACATTTGATAATGTCCTCTGCCCGTTCTACAAACCCCACCGTTCCGGACTCGGCCCCTCGTAAACTCCACATACCGCTGCACAGGACCGGAAGAGCTTACAGAATGAGTACAATACGAAATCCTCTAGTATCGTAGTCACGGTAGGCATTGGCAGTAGCATAGCATCCAGTTCGGTAATGTCGGGGTAAAGATACAGCTTAGTATGGGGTGGTTGTGGGGGAAGTTTGCCCCCAGATTCTGGAGGTTGTAAGATCAGGGGAGGATCGGCCGAGTACAAGAAGAGAGCCCCACCTGATGGGATGACACCTTGATCGGGGCTTGTACGCGGGCGAAGAGTCTATTCGTCTCTACAGCCAGTGCAGTTTCCTGAAAATCCTTTATCCTTTGGAACTGTATTTGAACCCTCGTCCGATCGCGAGACTTTCAAGGCTTCTTCTGCAGTTCATCTTATCCCAACATTGTCAAGCCGACTCCTGGTATCCCTACTGCGAACATCATGGGGCGTCTTACCACTGTATTCTCGGCCGTCTTCTTGGCCATAGGAGGTTTCCTCTTCGGCTATGATTCCGGTATCATAACGTCCACGATCGCGCTTGACACGTTCAAGGAGTATTTCAGCGACCCGTCAGATACCGTCACGGGCGGCATCGTGTCGGCCTTCCAAGGCGGCGCGATTCTTGGCACCATCATAAACATGATGTTCGCACACCGAATGGGTCGCCGAAACACCATCTTCTTCGGTTCCGTGGTGTCGTGCATCGGCTCCGCGCTGCAGGCGGGCTCCGTGAACATGACGATGCTCATCATCGGCCGCTTCCTCGGAGGCGCAGCCGTGGGACAGCTTACCTCGACGATTCCAATGTACGCTTCTGAGTTGTCCGAGGCGAGGTACCGCGGTGTCCTCTCCGGACTGCTGCAGTGGATGTTGAGTTGGGGTTTCTTTGTCGCCCAGTGGCTGGGATACGGCTGCTCCTTCAACCACACCGCGTTCTCTTGTCAGTATCCGACCAAACCCAACGCGTCTATTACACAGGAGCTAACCTTCCAACAGGGAGATTTCCCCTTGCTTTCCAATGCGTTCCCGGTGTCATCCTCATTTCCGGGATATACTTCTTGCAAGAATCGCCTCGATGGCTCATGGAGAGAGATCGCCATGAAGAAGCCCGCGCATCCCTGAACAAACTCCGAAGCGGCCTCGACGAAGAGACAATTGACCTTGAGTTCCGAGAGATTCGCGATGTCATTCTTGCTGACAGAGCTGTCGGTGATGTCTCGTGGAAGTCCATCATCACCAAGCCGTCATGGCGCAAGCGTCTTCTATTGGGCTGCGGAATTCAAGCTTTTGGTCCTCTCAGGTATGAAAGTCTCTTGAAGAAGTTAACCTCTGTAGGGAGACGTATACTAACACGGATCGTAGTGGAATTAACGTTATCAACTACTACGGCCCCCGCATCTACGAGATCCTCGGCATCGAAACTCAAGAATCCCTGATGATCATCGGCATCAGCGGTGCTCTTTCAATCGTATACTGCACCATCGGCCTGTGGCTCCTTGACCGCGTCGGCAGAGTCAAGCCGCTGATTGTCTCCGCCGCCGGTCTCGGAGCATCATTGCTAGTTAATGCAGTCCAAGCCCAATACATCAACGAGAACAACGCGAACCAGCTTCGCAGCATGGTCGCCATGAACTTTGTCTTCAACATGTTCTACACCCCGCTCGGCATCATCAGCTGGGTCTACCCGGCCGAGATCTTCCCCGTCGAGGTCAGAGCGCTCGGAAACGCTATCACGACCTTCACCAACTGGACCGTCAACCTCGTCTTCGCCCAGTTCTCGCCGCAGGCCTTGACCTCCATCGGCTTCAGGTACTTTTACGTATTCTTCGTCTTCAATCTTATTGCTATGCTGTGCTACATCTTCTTCTTCCCCGAGACGAAGGGTAGGACCCTGGAGCAGATGGACGAGCTGTTCGGTGACCAGCTTGTGCCCCACGCCATGCAGGATTCGGAGGGTGCTGCTGCGGCTGTCTCCAAGGACGAGAAGTTGGTGGAGCAGCTTGATCGTGTTTGAGCTGCATCATGGTATGCTCAAAATCCGGGAAAGATGCAACGAATTATGTGTACCTGTGACTAGTCTGAGGAATAACACGATATCAATAATAATGACTCGTTATTGCGCCGATCGCGGCGTATCCCAGTACTGCATGCCCCCAAATGAAATGTCAGAATTCTTCATCATCATCCCGAGCCTCCATCGTCCGAGGCCCGGCCAGAAGTTCGCCTCCTTCGCATGCTCTTCCTGTCTCATGTCAAACCAGCCAATCTCCGTCTTTGAGCTTGAAATCGTTGGAAAGAACTTGCACCATCGGTCGGTACCGACGAGCTCCCCTTGGCTGCCGTTGCCCTCTGGCAAAGGAGGCTGTACGAGGGTCAAGTCAACTCCAAGAAACTTGACCAGCGATGTCGTCAGCGGGAAACTGGGCAAGTAGTTGACCGGCTTGTACACAGTGCGGAAGAAAGACTTTTTGTCGGCCACTGCCTCCGCAACGTCGCCTGTCGTATCTTGTGGGAAGATCTTGATCTCTGTACCACCACCAGCTAGTTCATTGAACTCAAATCGAGCAAGATGCTTTGGGATGCTCCAATCTGTATCGGCTTAGTATAAACACCCTGTCAACCCGGAAAAGAGTCGCCAGATCTTACCTTTACGACCATTCCAGCATGTCGTCTTCTGCGACACGTAGATACGAGTGATTCGCATGTTCTGCTTCTCCTTGCGTTTACCATGCTCCTCTACCTGATAAGAGTACTCTCCAGTTGATAAGATGAACTCGTCGTAAGGCCCCACGGGACTAGAAGAATATCGGTGGATCTGGATTGTGCCGATCCCTCCCTGTGGCGATCCTGAGTCTGAGGAGCGCGCGAAAGAGGACTGGGCCTCAAGTGGGGAAAACGCAATGTCCGTTGGAAACTCCTTTGCCTGCGACGATGGAATCCAGAACATGAAGAAGTAGGACGTCCCTTTCAAGTCCCAAGGGGCAGGAACGTGCTGGATAGGCTCGTTCATCCCGTCCATCCTAGAGGAAGTGTCCGAAGGAGATGTAAGATTCGGCTTTTCACAATACTCTCTTCTGGTGAATTTCCTAATCGCCATCAGACTTAGTACTACTGTCTAAAGAATGGGGATATTGAGGTTGCGATAGAGGTAGAGGCAAAGGCCACCAAACTGTGAAATGAGCATTAAATAAGGGCGGCTCCGCTGTGGACCGGTGGAGAGGCGCTTCTCAGCCGCGGCGTTCTTGTAAATGTGGCGTCCAGTGACGTTCAAGAAATTCAAGACATTGGCTTGGCCCAGTACTCACCTTGTGATGATGTTCTTAGCAGCTGGGCGTCGAGACTCCTTAGCGGGGCTGACCACCATAACAATCACCGTTCTGCGTGAGCCAATGGAAATTGAACTTCTTCGAATTTCTCAGTACCACAAGTCTACATTGGGCCCGAGTTTTGTCAACTTAAAGATTCCCATTCCACCTGTTCCGGTTAGTGCTGGCAAGTCGCCCAGTGATAATCACAGGCAGGCTAGGACCACTGGAGGCTTGACATTATTATAAATTTGGCTGCTTTGAATGTTGACAACAATTCTCGCCAGTCCCTAGAAGTTACACGCAATCCTTGTATAAGCTAGGAACGAATTCTCACCAGGCGAAAGCTGCTTCAAGGTGTGACTATAGACACTTTTACCACATCCTCTAGCTTCAATTTCCCGAACGCAGGCCCAAGATAGAGACAGAAAGCAACATTGGATATGGCTCTCAGAAACAGTGATTTTGATATGAAAACAGATCGTTTCATCCAAGCATCCTCATCGCCCGATTCATCTGATGAAGAGTCCGGGAGTCGAAGCAGACCGTGGCTCAAATACGTAGCGGCTTCCTTGACAGCTTTTGACTTGGCTGGGCTAGGATTCAGATCCAACTCCAGAGTGTCATCGTCCACTTCCCTCACCGTTCGTTGCCTTATCCATTTTGCGACATCGTTGGCATTACATACCGGTTGCTCTTCGTCGTCATTGGGGTTTTCAGTGCCTCCTAATTCCCCCTGGTATGGTTCATCTGCAATGTAGTTTCGTAGCAAGTGCTTTTCAAATTGGGAAGCCGAACGATTGTTGAATGAAACTAGAGCCACTTGATCAATTTCTCCGATCCCCGGTCCGAGATACCATCGGAGATTGAAGAGTATTTCCTCCCGAGTACGAAACTGCAACACGTGTCCGAACGTTTGCTGAATTGCCGCCTGAGATGTAGCCTTAGTTTCAAGAAGCGAGTCGTATCCAGCTCTCAAAGCTGTAAGCGCAACGTGGAGGCTAAAGGGGCTGTCGAGGGCCTTTCGTTGTGAAAATTCATGGCTTGAGATATTCGCCTTCGGCGGCAACAGCATCATCCAGCCGTTACCGAATATGTTCGCTTCGATTTCTGAATGAGTAGCATGCTCGTGAAGATGATTCAAGTGATGGTTCGAATCAAAGTGCACGTGGTTCGTATGAGAGCCACCTTCTGCAACTTTTGATGCTTCCGTGTACTTCCTCCCGCGCCACTTAGTCGATGTATCAGCCTCGAGGCCTCTCGGATCATGCTGCATCGTTTCGTCGTTCAAGTCGTCCGACGGCATTTCTTTCTGTGGGGCACTGATAAAGTCTCTCGGCGCATCTCGTGGCGGTACATCAGGCGGTGGCACTCCACCACCATGGTTGAGAATGATGCGAATGCTCTGCATTGATTGCCGCAGTTTATCAATCAACTCTGTGTCCCTTCGAGCCCATGATGACTCTACCACACTTTCGGCGAAGCTCGAGAATGTTGACACAACATGGTCTATCATTCGCTCGAGCTGCTCAACCTCCTTTTGTCTTTCCTTCTCTGTAGCCTTTTGTCGCAGACGAAAGGTATTCTGGGCAATGCGGTTTCTTTCACGGCGACTCTATCCAGATTAGCCTTTAGACGCTTCCTATCAGGTGGAGGCCGATGCAATAAACTTACATTCAGCTGCATGCTCTTCGATGGCTCTTTCCGTGGGCGGCCTCGCCTACCTGTCCGAAGATGGTGTGCAGAGATAGCGGTGTTGTCGCTCTCCATCTCACTCATTGAGCGCATTGAATGGAAAGGTAGTATTTCAAATTCTATTCAGTATGTTTCTTGGACAGGCTATTCAGAGCCCGGAGTTTGAGTTTCAACGTATCAACGTATCATGGTTGGTTTATGTAAGATATGTGTACCGTAATTGCTGAAATGACAAGTTTAGGGCGTGAGCTGATGACAAATGCCTCTTACCACAGGCCGCACAGGACCGTCATACCGAAGTCGATTTTGCGATTAGTGAACCAACATCTGCAATGCCAGACCTGGGGCACGAGCGGCAAAATTATATAATGAGAGCCGAGGCTCATTTGAACGCAAAGATCCGCAGGTATTTGTATTGCTTTCTTGACTGGGGTTGTTCACAAATCAAGATATCATCTATGGGTGTAGACGTCGACGTCTGCTTGGCGGCCCCGCTATTTTACACATCTACCCTTTTCAAGGTAATTTGAGCTTTCATTCACTGTGGTGCGATTCCTCTTGACTTCAACCACTCTATCATGGTCTCTGCAATCTCCTTGGGCTTTTCGGATGGGAGGAAGTGACCGCATTCAAAGACTTCACTCGTGAAGTCCGAGAAATAAGCGCGCAGTTCTGGGTTGTCAAAGATTGCCGGAGGACAAACGGGATCCCTTGAGCCGCCCATATGCAAGAAAGGTACCCGAATGTTGTCTGCATCGGCTGCAAGGTTCTTCTCCACCTCCATATGTACGTTCTCCACTAGGGCGCGGTACCACATCAAAGGCGATGTAAATCCGGCGCCCTGGAAGTTATCCCTGGCGGCACTCATAGCTGCGGGGTCATCGGCATATGACTGCAGCTTTCTCCGTTTGTCAGCAGAGAGCCAGTCGACAAGGCCATCTCGTCGGCCAAAGGTATCATTCATGGCGTTGTTTTCTCCGTGCCCAGCAGCATAGAAACTCTCAGGATGGCCGGACAACAGACTCGGTGCGTCGGCACTGGCGAGAAACTTGTAATAGTATTTGACTGGCCATCCCAGTTGTCGTTCAAACTTTTCGGCGTCCATGTCGATGTTGATTGGCGTTCTTGCCACGTGTTCGTAATTGTATGCCCCCACGACGAGAGCATTTACGCGTTCAGGGTGCCACAAGTACATGCGGTGTGCCATGAAAGCTCCCCAGTCATGCCCAACGGAAACGAAGTTGACGACACCCTCGTGGTCGAGTATCTCTATGATATCGTTCGCCATAGCGCTCGAATTGAAGAATGAGACGTCCCATGGCTTAGACGTGCCAGCATACCCAAGTAAGTCTGGTATCATGAGCCGAAAACCAACGGCAACGAGAAGTGTAACAACTGGCGCCCATACAGAGGCTGAATCGGGGAATCCATGGAGGAGAACGAGAACGGGATCGGCAGTGGATTCATTCAGGTTAGGGGATATGTAGTAATTATACTGCAAAGAGCGCGAGTTGATCAATTGCTTCTGGATGAGAGTGTCCATGTTGACTTGAAGCCCTAATAACGTCGGATAGGCAGTTGAAGTGAGAGGCTGAGATGTTTCACGAGTTTTCACGCCGTCTTTTGTATGAATCTAGCGTGGTGAACATGATTTTCTTCGGGTATCGAGTGAATTGTCAACGTGTCCGCGTGTTTTGTCATTTTCTCGGCACGACCCGATGGTTTCACGCTCCTCATGAATGATTTGTTTTTGGAATAGAATAACTATGCTCCACGCTGATTATTAAATGATTCAGCAATTATGCCGAATTATATAATTCAGCCATATGTACTCTTTTGCTTACCCAACCACCGGGTCGACCGCCAAGTGATCGAATTGAAATATGGAGCGCGGTAGTTGTCCACATTCAGCCTTTCCGGTAAATTTGAACCGCCTACCACATGAGAGAAGCTAGATGACCAGAAAGCATAAGCTGGCTTGAGACTTGCAGAGATGGCAGACAACATTGAGCGCAAGAGTGCGACAACGAGGCCTCATGAAAACTACAGTGAACCAGTCAGCAAAGCTGATGGAAAATGGCGCAAAGCTGCTGCTTCGGCCTGCATTATTCTATGCCAATTCATTCAGGTATGAGCATTAACTACTGAGAGCCCTCTCGTAGGCATTAGAGCTGAATTTCAACAGACGATTCCCCTGGGCGCAGGCATCAACGGCGGTCTGAACATGGCTAAGGAGCTCGGCGTGTCACCCGCTTTTGCCATATGGATTATAGCATCTTATCCGTAAGTGTTTATAGGAACGGCCACTCAAACGATTGAAAGCTGACCTTTAGACACAGCCTTACTCAAGGAACGTTTGTCCTTATGGGAGGGCGTGTTGGTGCAGTCTACGGTCACAAGAAGACTGCTGCCGCTGGTGGCATACTTTGGGTAATTTACCATCTTATATCCGGTTTCATGCGCAGCATCATATCTTTGAGCATCATGCGTGCACTCAGCGGCATTGGGGCTGCGTTCGTCTTTCCAAATGCCGTGGCTCTCCTCACGATAACGAATCCACCTGGTAAGGCTCGCAACATTTCAGTTGGGCTGTTCGGCGCCATGGCACCAATTGGTGCTGCGGGTGGGAGTGTATTCCCCGCTTTGTTTGGCCAACTGACCCAATGGTGGTGGCTGTTTTTCTTCTTGTGAGTATTTATCTTGACGCCCCGCAGTGGAATTCGCATCTCTAATCGAGAAATATAACAGAGCTCTTCTGGGAAGTGTCATCTTTGGCCTGTTTATCATAATTGTACCTGCTGAGCCCACACCGATGGATCCTCTGGGCAAGGTCGACTACATTGGAGCATACCTAGGCGTGTCCGGCCTCATTCTCTTCAACTTTGTGTGGACGTGAGTAGACTCTTTCTCCCCCTACATCTGTGTGGCATTCTCACAATTGGGAATCAGTCAATCCGCTCTTGTGGGCTGGTCCGTCCCATACGTCTATGCGCTTCTTATTGTATCGATT